TATAAATAAACTGCTACGATACTTTGACTTGTAGGAGACATAGAAATATTTTATTTGCGCTGACGAAGGTAACAGGAGTTGCCGAAAATTTCACGATATGTTTTTTCTCTATAAATGTGTTAACTCGTACTTTAGTTGTGATCTTGTACATTTGTTTGGTTTGCATGTTAATTCTAGAAGTCTTCATTCCTGTCCTACCTTTAATGTCCCCTTTGTAGAGTTGATGTCTGTAAACGTAGTTTTATTTCTAGACTTTCTCTTCAATATAACCTGCGTGTACACGGTGTGATGGCGGCGTCATCTCAAAAGCGGGGGGGGGGGGGGGGATGCCATTTTCGTGGCCATTTTCGTGATTTCTGAGGAGGAAATGGAGGAAAAAAAAGAATGAAAAGGGAAAGAAAAAAAAATTGCACTGATGATTATGATTATTAATGCCTGACTCTGGGTGTGTTCTTTTGTGTTTTGTTTATCATTATTATTTTTTTGTTGTTTATTATTATTGTTATTATGATTGTTATTATCATTATTAATAATATTATTATTATTATTATTATTTTTTTTTTTAAATTTATTTATTTTTTATTTATTTTTTTATTTTTTTTCCAGGACCACAACGAAAAACATTTCTTTAAAATGATTGTGTCATCCTGGCTAAAGATATTAGTAAATAAATATAATTCTCTTATTTTAACCTCTAATATTGACATTTTTCACAATTGTCTATATTTCGTTCTATTATTAATAATCATTTGAATAGGTGAGATTTTTGTACTCTTTCGTCTATATATTTGATATATTTAAATTTTATATATTTTACCAGCCTGTTAGTGGCGATGATTTGCTGTTGGTCTGTTAAAATGAAATAAAATGGGCCCCTAATAGCCCTGGGCTCCAGTGCCTTGTACTGGCTCCACTGCCAATAGCTCCGCCATCCCACTGCATGCAATACAAATATCGTTCTTTATTTTTTCCCCAACTGGCATTAATTAACAGCCTTTGATATAATTATGCGTTACTCATCTAGCCTGTTGTTGTTGTTGTCATGGTTTTTATTATGAGGTTCCACGACACATATTCCTATAGACTTGCTACAAGTTCCTGTTTTTCATGGACAGCGCGCCACCGACGAGTAAGTTAACTTGAAGCGAAACATTTAAATAGAGCATGGGACGCCCGGCTTTATGTCAATTCAAGTTGAGGTATGTTGGGTTAACTTCTACAATGTACAAAACGTTTCATTAACTTTGTGAATAAGATGATAATAAATATTTGAGAAAAACGTATGTCCCCATCGGGATTCGAACCCAAGACCTTCCGATTACCGTTCAGATACTCTACCAACTGAGCTTGATGCCAAGTGGTATACAACCTTTTGGGTTTTCCCATTAGGACACTTTTTTTTCTCAAGGTATTGCGTAAATACGCAATGAATAAGAGTAAATCACATAAAAGTAACTACGGTATGGCATTATGTGATAGTAAATCACATGAATTGACCTTATTGTGAACAAGGTCAATCTATAACTAGCACATATTCCTATTTTTAATACATCGACTCAACCGGTCCATTGTATCATTCCGATTTACAGAATTTCCAGCAACAATAGAGGTATTTTGTTCCGAGTGAGGAATTTAACCGTAAAACCTATTGAAAAACATCAATGCAAATTTTCTTTTGTTCCATAATAACAACGATTGAATTGAAAACAAAATATAACTTGTACTTCCTTGTGTAGAGCCTACCGATATTATTAAGTTGTATTGGCAGATTGGTTGTTTGTTTCATATTCGGGCATTAATTCTTAATCAGCTATTAGTTAAAAACGGTTGCACACACATTTCATAAGGCGCTCTAAAAACGCGTGAAAACTTTACGTTGCAACGCGCAAGTTTATAGGGAGTGTAGACTTCTTTAAGCAGACGTTGTGAAGTTGGCACTGATTAAATCTACTATAAATTTTAGCCATCGCTGTTAAAATCAAGGATCTTATGTACAAATGGTAAGTTGTGATTATCTGGTTAAAACTTGTTTCCGTGTACACGGTTCCTGTAGGCTCCAATAGGTTAGGTAAATGCCATTGGTAATTACAATATCATTTGGGTACATAATATATAATAATATATTATTATTATTATTATTATTATTATTATTATTATTATTATTATTATTATTATTATTGTTATTATTATTATCATTATCATTATTATTTTTACCATTACCATAATCATTACCACTACCACCACCACCACCACCACCACCACTACCACTACCACTACTACTACTACTACTACTACTACTACTACTACTACTACTACCACTACTATTAATATTACTACTACTACTATTACTATTACTATCAGTGGCGGATTCAAGGGGGCGCCCAGCCGGCCCGGGTTCCCTAATTTTTTTTTATATTATAATTATTATTATTATTATTATAATTATTATTATTATTATTATTATTATTATTATTATTATTATTATTATCATTATTATTTTTACCATTACCATAATCATTACCACTACCACCACCACCACCACCACCACCACTACCACTACCACTACTACTACTACTACTACTACTACTACTACTACTACTACTACCACTACTATTAATATTACTACTACTACTATTACTATTACTATCAGTGGCGGATTCAAGGGGGCGCCCAGCCGGCCCAGGTTCCCTAATTTTTTTAAAGTTAAAAAAAAAATGAGAGAGAAAAAAAGAGAAAATTCTACTGAAATGTTGAGTCTGAGTGCTGAGTGTGCCATTTCTGGCCATCTGGAGGTGCATTATCATAAATTTTCTGACCCGCCATCTGTGAAAGTCCTTCTCTTGCCCCCCCCCCTCTATTTTAAATTCCTGGATCAGCCACTGACTATTACTATTTCTATTACTAATGTTAATGTTATTGTTGTTGCTGTTGTTATTATTCTCATTACTGTTATTGTTACTGTTACAAATACTGTTAATATATATTTATTTAGGATACTACAGGAACCGGGTTTTTGGCGAAGTTTACACAGGCGATGCCAGGACCTTTTAGACGAAAACGCTCTCCCTCATTAGAAAAGATACCTGTAGAGAAACTCCAGCAGGTAGATAATGATGAAGAAGTATATCAAGATGATGGGCCGCTGGTTAGCTGCATTGAAAAACGCCCCCAACTTCCCACCCCACTACTAATTGAGGAAGATTACGATTATACTCTTGACTGGAAGAACCTAACAGAAAGAAATACTTCATTATGTCATCCTATAATGGAAGCACCAGTTGATATGCCATTCTACGAAAACATAAAGATACAGCCAAGCAATACATCGACAACTCTCCCAAATGATACCGATCAGAAACACCAGTTCCCAATTCTAAAATCAGAAAAGGTGGATCCAAGATCGGATCTTTATTGTTGGAATACAGAACATCAAGATCAGCCGCCAGTTATGGAGGAACGGCGAATTAATGCAGTGCCGCCTTTTTCGAAGGCTCGTCTTGAGATAAACAAAGAAATCCTAGCAAAAAAGCTACTATCAATGAATCCGAATATCGCGAGCACACTTACTGATGACGTTAGCAAAGCAGATGGTAGCCCTAAACCGAGTAAAGCAAAAGAACCTACAGGTGATGCCGATATGTCCAATCTTTACATGAATTCAATGTGTGCACCGAACAGCTCACATCAACTTGTTCATGGCTTATTACCGCAATCGATCAATTTGTCTCCACATGTTCGTAAACCACGTAATAATGACAAATCATCAGAGTCGATCAGTCCACCGCCTCTTCCAGTCCGACCATACGCTCATGATGATCTCTCAGAACCGGTTAGCCCGCCATCATTTAATTCATCGAAGTCATACACTGGTGAAAAACCATCAACCACGATCAGTCCGTGGCCACATCTTCCACCAAGGCCTGGCGCTAATGAAAAACCATCAACACAAGTAACTTCACGTCCACCCCTTCCAAACAGACCCAAAGGTGATCGCAAACCATCAGATGGGTTCAGTAGGCGACCACTCCTTCCAATAAGACCAGACGTTGACGGCTTGCAATCAGAACCGGCCGTTAGTCCTCAACCATATGTTCCAAAAAGACCAAACGATGAGATACTGTCTTTGGAACCGACTATTAGTTCGTCACAACCTCTTCCCGTGAGACCGTACATGGATGACAACGCCTCGGATCAGGTACTCAGTACACGACCAAATCTTCCGACTATTAGTTCGTCACAACCTCTTCCCGTGAGACCGTACATTGATGACAACGCCTCGGATCAGGTACTCAGTACACGACCAAATCTTCCGATCAGACCAAACATCGATGAATTACTACCTGAAGCAATCAATACACGACTACTAATACCACATACAAGTTACAGTGATGAGGACAACCAGGTATACGAGATAACCAGGAGACCTGTGAACTGTTTAACAGTGCAACAACTTATTGAGCAAGTAAGGCTATTGGGAGTCAGAGAGCATGTCATAGATCGGATCCGCGAAAATCTTGTCGATGGACCTTTAATTGCAAACATGGATAAGAGTTTGATATCAGAAGCGTTGAATGCGAACCCACTAGAAACGTTGAAGATCTATGAATTCGTTCATAAAGGATGGAAACCAAATATATAGATTTATGTAAAATTTATATGAATCGAGCTTCCAGCTAAGCCCTGCCCCTTTGAAATAGTTGCAATGGTCCAACAAAATGGCAGTTTTAAAACATACGCAAAACATTGATCTCTACTATAATAGCTGGATTGCTCATTGGCTGGTTTTAGTGAGGCCAACGACGCCATGTTGGGGGGTGGGGGCTAAGTGACGTATCAGTTTAGACAAGTTTCTTTTACGTTAAATTTATACTTATTGAAAAGTATTGCAAGAATCGTTATTTTTAACTGAAATTTAAACAAATGCCAAAAGAAACTTTTCTAAACTGGTACGTCACTTAGGCCCTCCAACATGGCGTCGGAGGCCTCACTTTTTTTCTGTACCAGGATCGACCGGTGAGCAATCCAGCTATTATAGTAGAGATCAGTGACGCAAACACGTGCGTTTTGTGGGACAACACATGTGCATGTTAGACACGCGCGTCTTCGTGGCTCTGCTTGTTCTGATTGGTCCGTTGTTAAGTTTGACAACCAGGAATGCTCCATTATATTTTCACTGTAGGTTTTCCCCAGTTCTCTCATGACCTATAATCAATACTAGCTTACATTTTAACTAAAAACGTAAGGGAAACCTAACTAAAACCACACAACATTCGGAAAACGTTTAACTGACAGCCCTAAACAAAAATTTGAAATGATATACCACTACTTATAAGACAAATTAAATCGCGGAAACTTTCAGAAGCACGTTTAAAACTAATTTTTAATATAATAGTTTGTTTATTATTTGACTGTACGTTTAATTTCATGTTAAGCCAATTTAATCTATTTCGTTACGATATTATATTTTAAGAAGATGGGCCAGATTTTATGAACTTGCTTTTTCTTATTTATCAATAAAAATCAAAATCAATGTAGGCCTATAATGATATTTGTAGATGTATGATTTTGACTATAATACACAACATGTACATTATTTTGTTATAATTATGGTTCAAGACCCTTGCATAAAATAAAAAAAATAAATAAACAGGTTTTAACATCAGCCTGAAAATGTATCATGGGTAAATAAATTTTAGATAAAATAAAATAAAGAAATAATAACAACCGTGGTGTTTTATGTTATTGTATGTTCTCGACACTTATATTTGTATATCTATACGCTTTAAAGTTAGATATTTTGAAAAAGTAGGAAATGCTTTATATAGACAGGACAGGTCTAAACATTATTTTGACTTATGCTTAGGGTTAGACTGCCGTCAGAACAAGAAAACTTGTACTGTACTTCATATATATTCGATAGATTAATCACGAGTAAACTTGATTTATGAAAGTTCAGAAGTGGCTGTACGTGTTAATGAGTTACTGATTTGATTAACAAATTACCTGATTTTCAAATGTACACACGATCTCCAAAGTTTGTCTTCAAATGACATGGCATTACATTATGATTTTACATATCCATAATAATTTGCTAATAATAATACATTTCATCCTACCTTAAACCTAAAGCCAATATTAACAAAATTGGACATTTGAAAATTCGGGGATAGTTGTGAAAATGCCAACGTATTACAGAAATCACATTGTTTTAACCAGGGGCAGATCCAGAATTAAAACGAAGGGGAGGGGG